CCCCAAAACCCCAAAACCCCAAAACCCCTAAGAATCATTATAAATTTATATTGAGCACATATCACAATAATTAATTAAAAATGTCATATTTCAGTATTCTTAAAAAGCACAAAGTGACAGTTCCACCCTTCTGGACTGATCAATCTTACTTCCTTAGAGACGGCTTCATAATGGGCTTTACTCTTGAATTCATTTTCTTATACTTCAATGCATATGATTCTTTCACAAGAAAAGCAACAATAAAATGCCTTGAGAGAGTTAGATATAGTGATTATAAACTCAAAGAGAAAATCAAGTTAGACGAAATTAAAGAGGAAAAGAAGCGGAAACTTTAGTAATTAGAGGAACTGAATGAACGGCATCAAATGTAATAGTTAGCAAGGGAAAGTAAACCCTCTTTCTGAGACTATAATATCAATAAATACGTATGATAAGTGAGGTTATAGCTCTAATGCTATTGATTGAGAGTATTGATAACATCCAAGAGATGGTAATTGCTAAAGCTTAACTTATTAATTTAATTAAAGTTTAATTAAAATAATGACCATGCCTCTCTGAGTCTCTGGATGAGGTAACAAAAGGACAATCATTATTTGTGAAATATGTCTATCAGAGCATTTATCAGACTCAATCTTACTCCTCTTCTTCTTCATTATTAGAATCAAAATCATCAACCACCTTGACGTTTCCATCTTCATCCTCTGAATCATCCTCAAGCACCTTCCATCTGGATTACTTTGACTGAAGTTAAGATATAATTCTCTAGTTAGATGAAGAATGGCCTGCATTGATTTTATCATTACCAACTGATTAGATGATTTTAATAGCTCTTTACTTGCCTATATTGCAGAATATAATTTCTAGTATAAATTACTTTCATTTACTGCATCTTGAGCTTCTTTCTATTGATTACTCTAAAATTCTCTAACTGCATTAAATAATTGCACAACTATAATTGATAAGCATAATTCATATCATACCTCCTTTAGTAGCTATAATTTGTAATTCTCTTTCTCTTTCCTCATCCTCGGCAGTAGGAATCGTTCTTCCCATAATTCTAATTCTTTCCTTCTCTTATCTTTTTTACTTCATTTCATTTTCTCTTTACTTTTCCTCGCTCACTTCCTTAGCAGGTTTCTTATATTTGGCAAGAATTGGGCCATCTTTGACTGCTTAAACAGTTGACTCATCTAACTTCTTAGAAATAATTGATTAAAAGGCTGAGGCGAAAGAAGATTTCAGCATTTGCTTCTTCGATTTTTACTTTTTATCACCTCCTTTGCTTTGTCCATCTTCATTCTCAGATTAACTCTCATCAGCTAGTTGATATACTTAAATAACAACACAATTTACATTCATATTTCTTAGCTCTTTTTCTTAGTAGTCCTCTCACATTTTTCTTCTTCAGTTTGTCAAAACTTTCGAATTCTACAACTCCATTAGTCACATTATCAGTCTTTGCTAGGTATTTAGTTTTTTCCATTGTATAATAAATATAGTAATTTTATAAATTATTGTTTATTTATCAGATATATACTCTCATGGGGTTTTGGGGTTTTGGGGTTTTGGGGTTTTGGGGTTTTGGGGTTTT